GTAAAATTAACGCAGTTTCTCTCGCGGCATGCAGTCGGATGCTTTACGGAGGCAGAGAAGAAAAAAAAATTGTAGAGAGAGAGAGAGAGAGAGAGAGAGAGAGGAGAAAGAAACGATGAGAGGGGTGAGAAGGAGAAGGGAAAAAGAGAGAGAGAAAACGGCACAAAGTGGACGTTCGTGAAAAGATAATGGAGCGGACGGATACGTGAATGTAAGTGGGAGTCGCAGGAAAACGTGTCGAGCATTGTTCCGCGTATTACACATTCCCTGTGTCGCGTCTTTAGAAAAACCCTCCGCCTGCGTTCGCAAGGCGGATAGGTGTGTACACGACGGAAGGCCCGCAATACGGTAGCTTTCCCTATCTCTCTTCCGTGATGCAAGTTTTGTGTTTACATCACGCAAAAACTGCTAGGGAAACGATGCTGCCGCTTGGTGCACGGCGGTACCGCCGCCACCGGCACAAGGTGAATAGGATGCACCGAATTTCCGGTTCAGTTGCCATCTAACTGCTTGAAAAAGAAACGCTAGGCTTCCAGATTCAATTCAGCCGAGCAAAATAGAGATTCTAATCTTCAGCCAGCCGGCTCCAATCGAGATTCGATAGCGATGGAACACGCGAGCACCAGTTGTATCGTGTAAATGAATTACGGAATAGTGCGAGAGAGGGAGGAAAACGGCGAACGATGAGTCACGTTGGATTTGGAAAGGATAGGAATCGCTACAGTGTAGTGATTTTCGAAAGACAAGACTGTCGTCGCAGAGACGATAAATCGGGAATGAAACGACGAAAGCAGAGAGAATCAATGCATTCAATCCAACAAATAACAGCGAAAATATCAAAGAAGCTTCTCGAGAAGGAAGCGCGTAGCGCGTGCTTGGAGCTCGAGAATTTCAAAGAGCGGAGGCATGCGTCAATGTGGCTAAGTGGCGGTGGAGAGTGTGTGTTTGTTTTGTATGTAGAGCTGGCTCTTCTCAAAGGGTGGACAGTGGTGAAAAAGAGTTTAAAGTCCAGAAAGAGAATTTTGAGAGAGCATTAGCGAACAGCGTGTGTTTAGAAAGAGCAAATTTTAGCAAACACGGACGTTGTGTTTTTACTTCCTTGTTTGTCAACTCGCGTATTCAACATACACGCATATATATATTTTTTTTTCCACTAAAAAACATTATCGAATCCCTCTAAACTTTGACTCTGAACGTTATTTCTTGTAAGGAATTTTCGGTCCGTTGATCGCCTGGTGTACCTTATTTTCGTGCTGTGCTTGCAACTTCCTCTAATTAAACGCGATTTCCACGTTCTGGAAAACCCCGTTCCACAATCTGGACATGGACAATATTTCCTGGAATCGCGTCGAGCGAAAGGAGCGGTTTTCTCCGAGGGCACAAAACGAGCCAGCATTCGGCGTGTCGATTATTAAGGCGGCCCCTAGTCAGCGACAATGGCGTTGCTAATAATTACTGTTGTACAATTGATATTGAGCGGCGCGCGAATGACTCGCGACTCGCCAACTCGTGCATTTTCCATAGATATCGCTGGTCTTTTCAAGCAACGTCACGGCGAGACGGCACAAAAGGAACGGGATGAAAGTAGTTTACAGAAATGCTTTCTTCGTCAGGGTCAATTTACGCGAAACAGCGCGAGAGCGAGGGAGCGGAGTCGTCCGTGTCGTCTCCTTTCCTCGGCCACTTTTATTCACGCTTCGCGAAATGAAGTCCGCTCGAAGGAAATTCTTTCGTCTGTGACACCATTGCACGGCTAAGAGCATCTGATCCGCGGTCTGACCCGCGTTAATTAAGCGCTCGTTTTTCTCTGCCCCGTGATAATTAATACACCCCCCCCTCCTTTTCACTTCCGACTGTGCGCGTTAGAAAAATGAAATCGCGAAGAATACCAGGCTTCTTAACGCGGACATCGACGAATGTCGAAAGTAATACAACTCTCAATATTGCTTCGCGATACCGTTGTAAGAGACCTCCTTCGTCTCTTCTCCGTTTTTTTCACAAACTTGTAACTCATTGCGAAACAAAGATGATAAAGATTACAAGATTCGAGAGAAAATATTATCCTTGATATTAGTCCTCCTTTAAGCAAGTATTCTACGCCGAGATCGTAATATCGATAGTAAAAATGAGAAACGTCTTGAGTTACTTTTCCTTTTTCCACCATCCGAGAAATTTCTTTCATCGGAGTGGACGGAATGGACGAATATCACTACTCTTCCTCTAGCTAAGATGGCCCGAGGTCATGTCTGTTTTTGACATCGCCGAGTCTTATCGTTCAATCGCGGGAACTTCCCGACGTTGAAAATACGATTTCACGCGGCATACGTATCACGCCGAGTTACCAAGCGTGGCATCGACGTTGCCATCGATCATCTATGCGTCGTCGATGGTTTTTCCTCCCAGCTCTTTCTTCAACACGCTATTTTCCCTCTCTATATCGGAACAATTTGTAAGATTGCCGATTCGTCACCGGGGAATATTTCGTACGAACGAAAATTCATCGAGGCAATTCCGTGACTCGCAACGAGAGCCACAGTAGAAGGAAAAGAGGGCGGGTCGCGGAGGATATTTGCAGTGGTCGACTGCGAAATTTCAATTACGCGTGTACCAGAGGCTGATTCGATTATCGAGGCCGGCTTGATTACCGATTCAATTGTTGCAACGAGTGCATCGAGGAATTTGTTCCTGTTTGCACTAAAGCACAGCCGACGCATCTATTATGCAGCGCGATCATCCGGCCCATGGCTGTGCTCTCGCACTCTCTGACACCTTTCCCCGTGTTACACCGTCGCGTCACACATCGTTCTACCACGCGGACATCCCGCGTAATTTTCCCTTCCCCAGGAATGTTTCCCGTCTCTTTTTCGCTTCATTCAGCTCGCCCGCCCCAGCTCGCCGCGCGCTCTCCCCCGTCAGCTTCCCCCCACCCGCAGCTCAGCTAACTTTTATTCTCTCTCGTTGTCGATGCACGGGCTGTATTTCCGAGGGCGTTAAACGACATAATGCGGCAATTTTGTTAGGCGCTGGCAGCAAATTCGCGGAGGTGCGAATGACGGTGGCTCTTATCCTAGAGAGCCATTAAGTGATCTTTCCCCGATTATTACTGCCAGCTAGGGATCTTCCATTTCCAGCAGTTGCCAGGAAAAAAACTGCCTCGGATATTACGGCGTTGGAAATTCGCGTCTCATCGCCGACGAAAGGACACTTTAGCCTTCCAGTAATGTGTGCCATATTATATAAAATTACGTACGATCCAGCCGGTGCACGAGAGCGAATTTTCGTGGCCATCGTTTCATGGCAAGCTACGTACGTACTACGTGTACACCGATCGAGACATCGCGTCGCGCGAACCGGACGCTCTCACGCAAGCTTTCCTGCTTTTCTTCTCTTAGCAGGAATTAAATCGATTAAGAACGAAACGAAATTAACTTTGCTTTTAATAGCGCGTAATGCATCTACAATTATTGTAATTTAAATACTGCTGTAATTCTATAGCCAGAAAAATGGACGTTTCCATTTTAAAGGGTAGTTTTTTTAAATATTTAGTTTCTCCATTATAAATGATAATATACGATGGTAATTTTTCAAAGTGAATAAATCGATTCCCCTCTTTATCGATACTAGGCTACATCGATCGATCGATATCGTGATCACCAACGATCGATACGGTTGCACCAACGGAGCGGAACGTCTGCCTTACCGTCTATCGATTATTTCGAGACGAGGGAACTTTACCGTGGATCACTACATTCGCGAACACATCGGCGGTGACGTAAAGTACCTGCGATTTGTCATTCCCATCGCATAATGTTACGAGCGGAGAATAATACGAAGAAGTTAAATGAGAAGGTTGGGAAGATAAAGTGGAGTGGTAGCGAAAACGAAGGCTACAAATTGTAAAGACCGTCTGAAATCCCAAGATAATTATACTTCACGATTGAAAAATGAGTATCCCTGATAATTACGCCGCCAATCTGGAAGTAAATTTGATCATAGAAGAACATTCTGTTAAATGATCGTAATTAGATTTCCCTAAGCGCGAGATTCTCACTTCGAATTCCTGATGTAGGAAAGAAAATGGAATTCTCGTTTCTCGATTCTTCCAACAGTCGAGTGCAAGAAACTCAAACGAACGTTTCAAGCTGAAAATCTTGACTGGATGTTCAAGCACTGGCGACGATTCATCGTACGCCGAAAAGAATCACAGTAAAGTCGGAAAGGAGCGTCTGCGGGAGCGATGCGAATAAAAGGATGATTTCATTTCGTCAGGAATACTAGGAAGCACCGCATTGCGGCAATATCGCGCGACCAAGCGAAAAACCACGGGTGGGAAGCTCGTCTTGAAAACAAGGGACG